ATACACTTTCTATTACCACAACGAAACCGATCACAAGCACAGTTTGGTTCCTCAGATTTCCCTGGAAGGATGCAGATAGGAGAGAGATGGAGAGGGAAGCAGAAAAAACATCCTCCTCAAAAGATATATAACAGCAAGTGGTATTTTCATAATAAACGATTAGGCCCAAGTGATAGGGGTTAAAAAAATCTTATTTAAAAAAATGGGTTAAGTTCTAATGACAAAGTAGTACTGGCACATCAATTATTCAATAATTCAATTTATCGAATGCTGATTACTTGTTCCATAAAAATCTTTGTATTTTGATCTAAAAGGAGAAGGGAACAATTCTGTTTTTGCAGACAGCTATTTTACTGCAGAACATTTAATAAAATGATGTCAGATACACAAGCCAATAAGACATATTGCCTCAGAATTTTAAATAACTTCTTTCATAAACACAATTAAAACAATGACAGACTTTTTTTAATGAAGAAAAATTTATCCACAACAATCACCTGTTCAAATAATTTTTTCATATTGTTCTGTAGTTCTTGTCTCTCTATATATGTATGTATACATAAATATATATACACACACAAACACACACTATTTTGCTATATACATGATAGTGTATTTTGCAAGCCCATTATTTAGACTCAAACTTTTGCCAAGACTATCATAAGATCAACTTTATAGTGTTTATAATGTTTCATGTAATCAGAAAACAGTATTTCCAATTTATAATTTCTATTGTTTTAACATGACTGCAAAATACTACATGAATCTGAGCTAAAGGTATAAATTTATTCATCAAAATAAAAGGAAGGGGAGAAAAAAATTGAGGTGCTTACAGAATTCTGATTACCTTTGAATACCATACTAAATATATAACAATAATGAGATAGGGAAAGGCAACCAAACAACATTAGATTCCTGCAGCACCCAAATTGACAATTTTGGGCCAGTACTTACTTTTCACCAACAACTTATTTATTGGTAAATAGGTGACTTATTTGTCGGTTAATAGCTAAATAAATATTACAACAGCTGTGTTTTTAAGAAAAAAGATAAAAAGTAGCATATGTTTGCTAAAGGAGACTATGTAATCTCAAAAGATGCAAAATAATTTTTAGCAAAAAAATATACATAACTCTAATGCTCTGGATTATTCATTTTTGTATAATCTGGTCGCCTTTTTTTGGATACAGTTTAAGAAAAGCAAAAGATGATTACTTTTTCTGAGACTATAAACTATGAAGATGAAACTGGTTATGTTTCATCTTTGAAGGTGTAAAAACTGATAATTCACACACAAAAAATATATTCTAAAGTAACTTTCAGGATGTGGGTAAGCACTTGAGGGGAAAACTACTTGCAAAATAAAAAAATGCATTTTAAAAATAAATGCATTCAAGATGTTTAAAAAGACGTTTTGTTTTTGAAATTAATCATTTTATTAGGATTATACAAAACATCCTTTGGAAACCCAGCCCCAGACCACCTGATTTTAGCATCTAATCCTCAATCTCAGCTGCCTTGAGCACCTAGTCATCATTAAATGGACGTTGTTTTGAAACTAACTTCAAAGTGACTGAGCAGTTAAAACCATAAAATTTGGTTCAATATTTTTCTTATTACTTAAAAACACACCTGAAAAATATTCCAGTCTGAAACCCTTTCTAGAGATGCTGTCCTCTGAATGAAACCTGATCCAGACATGATCTTGTGAAGAGATATATGGAGGTGGAATTGTGGAACCACAAGCTCTGTAATTTTCAATATTCTTGTATGTTTCTATCGTCAACCAGTCCAAACTGCATCTTCTGGACCCTTGAATATCAAAATCCTGAAAACTTCACACACACAGAAAAATTATGAAAGACTATTAATAAAGTAATTTTGGAAAAAAAATTCATAATAAGACAGTGTAACTGAGGACATCATTGTAAGCCTCTATACATTCACTGGTTCTCTTGAATTTTCCAGGCCTATGACTTTATCATCAGCAAATAATAATACCGCTTCTGTGTTCCTAATATTTGTATCTCTTTTCCAGGTTCCAGAACCTTCATATCCCTTCTTCATAAGTAATACCAGATTACAAAATAATACTAAAAAAAACAGGTGATAGTTGGCACCTTTTTCTTCTCCATGTGTGTTTATTTAGGAAAGACCACTTCAAATTCAAAATATCCCAAATTGTTCTGTGTTTGAACCAGATAAACTACTTCATAATTTGATGAACTGAAGTACACACAGAGAAAGTCATCCTTCTCTTACATTAGACTAGTACATCTGCTTGCTTAATGAAAAATTTGTAGCACACATTTTCAGGAGAACAGATAGCACAAAATCTGACTAAAATAAACAAAATTAAAAGTTAACAAACAAAAAAACATTTTCAATGAAAAGTCCCTAAGTTTGGGGATACTTTTTACATAAATCACTTTAGATCTAAATATCTTGTAGTTCATAAAATATGGGCATAAGTAAAGGACAAAAAAGTCAAATGAATAAAAACACAGACAAAATATGCTTATGAAAAAAGAGATACCAAAATATAATTTTCCAATATCTGAACAGGTCTCATCAAAAAGTGATCTGACTATCTTCTTGCCTCTGCCTTAAACTAAGTAATAATGAAATTATCTAAGGATTATTATACCAGGATTTTCCTCCTTAAATATTCTGAATAGCCGTTACAAAAGCTGATAGACAATTTGACTGTTTCCAGTTTTTCACTATCATTAATGATGATTTTGAATCCTTATACATGTATCTCTCTCTCTCATACGCATGAGCAAGTATTTTTCTAGGACACTGTTTTCTAGAAGTAATATTCCTGTGTTAAAAGACATGATTCCTTTTTAAATTTAACAGACACTGACATAAAATATTCATACTAACTCACAATTCCACAAAGTATGTATCTAACTACCCTATAACCCACCCCTCTAGCAAAATGAGGTATTCTATTTTTTAAAAATGTATTGCCAATTAGGTGGACAAAAGATTTATCGTTCTATTTTGCATTTCCATATTTACTGATACTGAAATATCTTTTCCTATGTTTATTGGCTACTTTTATTTCTTTTCCTGTGAATTGCCTTGTTACAGTCTTCATTCATTAATTTTTTTTTCTTATTTACTTAAGAACTTTTTATATATTATAAACATGGACTTAGTTGGGGGAATGTCTGTTATGCATGGCATGTGTACATCTACCTACACCCATATTCTCTCCAGTAGTTGGTGTGGTCGGTCTTTTTCATTTTAATCATTGGTGGGTGTGAAATGGAATCTCTTATGTGGTTTTTAGTGCACTTCCCTTAAGACTAATTATGTTGCACATCTTTTCATATGCTTATGGGCCACTCATATCTTCTGTGAAGTGTCTGTTCTTCTGCCCATTTTTAAAAAACTGGGTTGTCTTTTTGAGTTATAAAAATTCTTTTTATATTCTGGATTCAGGCCCTTTATTTGATATGTGTATTACTAGTCTTTTCTTCCAGTCTATAAGTTCGCCTTTTCATTTTCATAATGGAATCTTTTAATGTGAAAAAGTTTTTAATTTTAGTTTTGATGAAGTCTAATTTATTATTTTTTCCTTTATGTTTTAGCGCTTTTAGTGGATACCTTTGCCTACCCTAAGATCCCAAAGATAATTCAACAATTTTTTTTCTTATATTTTAGAGTTTTAGTTTTTACATCTATACCTAGGATTTATCTTGAACTACTTTTTGTGTGTTCTCAAGTAGGGGTCAAGATCTTTCTTTTTCTTCTTACATTTATCTAGAAAATAGAATATACTAATTTTTGTTCTACCACACAGTTAAAATACTATCTGATTACCCTGAACTTACGGAGGTTTGGTTTTACACTTTGTTAGACTGGGTTTGTTTAAACCCACTTAGTTTAAACTAAGGGCAAAGTAGAAACAGAAAATTGTACACTTCTTCTAGAAGAGGTCAGCCAGAGATAAGCTCAGTAGTTGTGCATACAGATGTAAACTTGAAAAGTATGACAGTTATAGGGTTCCAATAACAATCCCAAGGTGTTTAGGAAGCCGCTCTAAGGCAGCAAGTTTCAAACTCCAAACTGTCTCCCCTGTGATGAACAGGATTCAAACTCCAAACTGCCTCCTCTGTGGTGCTCAGTAGCTGAAATCCTTGCACAGCTTTTTCAGCCTTCCAGTTGTTTCTTGGGGTCTCCTTTAAGCATGCATAGTTCATGGGTCAGCAAAGGATTTGAGAGGAATTTATATGCAGATGTAAGGGCTTCATAGTTTGTGGCTCTCTCCTTTCCAGGATTTGCTTTTTCAGTTTCCAGTCACTCTGGTAGCCTCAACTCCATTCTGACACCTCAAGCTTTCAAGACCATGATGATCTACTTGAATTCCAGTCACTCCATGCTGCACAGACTGGTGAGAATCTTCAGGCAGCTGGTAGGAAATCAGCATTTTACACCCAATGTGGTTCCTTTTCTAAAGAGTGGAATACCCTCCATTTTCTGCCAGCTTCTGATTACTCTCTAGTGCCTTGAAATAGTTTTAAAAATTTTATCCAAAGTTGATAATTGTTTATGGAAGGGCCAGTTCCACTGAAGCAAGAGAATCTCTTAATCTATTTTTAGTCCACTAAAATGTTTAAGATTCCCAAAAGCAGGGACCTTGTCCAGAACAAGAAATCATCAACAAATATCTGTTCATGTATATACCCTATCAGATTTGGTTTGCTAATATTTAGGATTTTTTAATGCATTTATAAGTAGAATTAGTTTTCAGGATTTTTTTTTAGTGTTCCATATAGTTTACATTATAAAAGCACTACTAACATACCTGTGCCCTGTGCCTCTTCAGAATACAGGGGAGAGATTTCAATTTTTTCATGTTTTTTGTTTGTTTGTTTGTTTGTTTAATCAGCATTTCTTAAACTTTTTCCAGTCAGTTTTGATAATTAAAATTTTTTTAGAAATTATTCTTTTAATCTGGATAGTGAAATTTATTACTACAAAGCTGTACACAGTACTTTCACATAACTTAAAGATTTTTCATATCTATGGTCCTTAAATTTGCTTTGTTATTAAAGTTCTGTTTTTTCCTTCCCAATTTCACACCACTAATTTCTATCCTGCATTATTGCAATGATTAGGGGTTCTGGCACAGAGTGGAAGGGTGCATTCTTGTCTTCCTCTTTGGTGCTGAAATTAACTTTGACATTGTTTTTTAAAAATTTTTAACAGACATCCTTTATCTTTTTAACGGACAACATCCTTTATCAGGTTATGAAAATTCCTTTTCTGTTCATCTGGTAAAACTTGCCTATAAAACTATCTAGGTCTGGAGCTTTATTTTGAATGTTGATTCTATTTCTTTAATGGCTGTTGATTTCATCAGTTTTCTAATTCTTCTTGAATCGATATTGGTAATTTACATTTTCTACAAAATAATCTATTTCCTCTAATTGTATAAAAGAATTAACATAAAAGTAATACGCTATTATGACTTTTATAATCTCTATTATATCTATAATTATAGATAATTTCTCACATTTTTATTTATTTGTATCTTTTCTTTTTTCTTGTTTTGCCTTGAGTTTTGTCTATTTTCCTCACTTTTTCAGAAAGCCAATTTTTTGTTTTATTGAATCTTATTAATTTTCCTGATCTTTTTTTCTAACTTAAAATTTACCCTCTAATTCTTCTAAACTTGAGTTAAATGTTGAACCTTATTTATTTTCCATCTTACTAATTTTTAAATCAGTGCATTAAAAGCTGCAAAGTTTTCTCTAAGTACTTTTTCCATGTGTTCCAACAATTTTAATATGTAATACTTTCACTATGGTTTTTAAAAATGGCGTGGTCCATGCCATGGCAGAGTCCTAAAGGAGTCAGCTTGGGCTGCCCTCTTCAAGCTGGCAGGGCCGCTGGAGGGAGAGCTGCTGGCAAGGCCACAGCTACGAGCACTTGCTGCAACCAGAAGGACTGCCTGCCTCGGCTTTGTGGCTTTTGCCTTTTCTTTTGATATTTTGGTTAGCGTGGCAGTTGTCTAAATTCCTAAAAGATTATAAAAATAACACAAATAATTATGTAGTCATTGAACTAAACATTCCCACAGAGGATCCGAGTAAATTGGACAATTCAAAATTATCCCCTTATGATAAATTGACCACACCAACATATGTTCCAAAAGCACCGCTCATGACTAAATATGAGCTGCAGCCTAATGTAAGTTGGCAAACATCATTTACTGGAGGTTATATTAATGGCAAGAGAATGGTTGGTATTAATGAGAAATTATATGATTGGGACAAATTAAGTATAAGGAAACGAAACTGTAGAACCCCCTTTACTTGGTGGTGTCCAGTTTTAAATAAATCATTAAGAATCAGGTGTTGGGATAAAAATATATGCTGTAAAATTATTAAACCTGCAAAATTAGATCTTAGAAAAATAAGAGAGTGTAACTGGTTTTGTGAGGGATGGTGCTGTGCACAAGGACACTTTAACATTTAGATCAAGATTACAGGGCCACAGCAAATGCATAGCCTTAAAATGTGCATGAAAATGCTGCTCCAATATCCGCTGTTCTTTTTACATTTGGCTCTTTTTACATTTGATATTAACCACAGTTTGCTAACAGAGAAAGGTCACAAGATAACTTCAAGACAATGAAGGGATGGTTTGAATCTGATAAACCTGATTCCAGGAAAAAGCATGAGTTGATCACCTGAGACATGCTGACCTCTATAAAAGTTTCCTCCCTGCTTTTTGGACTATTGATTTAAGCTTGCTGATACAATAAAAATAATACCCAAAACCCCCCTGCAGAGAAAAAGTCTAAATAAAAGGCATT